TGCCACAGTCGGCCATTAGTTAAGAGAAGTTGAGATTTGTGCTTGGCTTGTTCATCACCTGAACTTCCAGGGCCTCTCGCAGGGACTGGCACAATAAGTATTTTTTTTTTTTTCCAGAAATGAAAATTTATTGCTAAAGAAAATCTGGCAAAAATTTTTGTGGGCTCTCAGAATTCTGGGTGGAAAGTCTGCGTGTCTCCCCAGATCCGGTTCTGGCTGAGCCCACGTAAAGGCTGTTGCTTAGAATTCACCTTCTCTAAAACCAGTGTCAGCTTCCCCATTCCTCTCGCTCACTCCCTGCTTTTGGACTGACACCACTTTCCCTCCGACACCAAGACAGAAACCTCCTGACATGTGAGCTCTGCCTCCTCGCACAGGGTACAACTCAATAAAAATCTGTTATGAAATCCTCTTTACAAATGCTTCTTGCATTCGAAACGTTACTTCCTTTAGTCTTTTTCCCCTATCATACTTACTTACTGGCTGGCTTTTCCATTTTACCTCTTCCATTGTTACCCAGCACTTCCTATTCCCAACCCCACAGTCTAGAACAAGGTCCAGCCGTGGCCCTCAGCCCAGGGGCCCCAGCGCCGCCTCGGGCACAGGCGGGTCTGGCTCCACAGGCGCCCGCACCCCTGCGGCTCTCTGTGCTGGTGCGTCCCTGCTTGGCCTTTGCTCACGCTGGTGCCAGCTGCTCCTGTTTGTCCCAAGCCTTCTAGAAGGGGCAGTGTGGTCAGGAGTGTGGACCTCGGGCAGACAGACCTCGTTCATAATCCCACCTCTACCCACTCGTCGTTTAACCCGTAGCTGCATCACTGTGAGTTAATATTTCAAGAACTGGGGAATAGTCTGCACAATTTGACTTTTATGGGATTTGACTTCTTTGGTTTCAGCTCTTATCTTGGAAGTTGGAAAAATCTAAATTCTCCCATGCTCTTGAATAGTTGGTATAAAACACAAGATGAAATTTTAGAATAAAAAATTATTGGTTGTATGAGAGGTGAAATGCAGGACTCTACAGTCTCCTGATTCGCATTCTCTGGTGTCCCCTGGAGACTTGGGGTAAGGGTTGCTTCTAACCTTGTCTCCGACGGGCACTCGGCGCGCTGTGCGAGCTGCCGGGACTGCCACTCGCAGTCTGCAGGCTGCCCTCTGCGGCCCGGTGTCCTCCTGGGGAAGCGCACGTGGGCCAAGGTGCTCCCATGCGGACGACTGTGTGCTGCGACCGGCTGGCACGTTCGGTCATGGGCGACTGCTCTGCACCTCTGGCAGGTCCCTGCTATTAGAGCCACCTGTCTCAGGTCCAGTGGCTTTGACGGTCCCCAAACACACGGGCATTCATAGAAGAGTCTGTGAATTTCCCCCAAAGGGCCAGTAATTTCTGCTCCGTTGGCCTAGTACTTGGCTCTGAACAAAGGATCTTCTTTGAGACCTCGCACTCATTTGCCACTCGGCCACCCCGGCTGTGCAAAGCACCACTCAGTGGACCTTCACTGAGGAGCTGCCCACTCGTCCGTGACCGAGGACAGTCAGTGCTGTCCGAGGAAGGGATAATTGTCACCACGGCCCTGGTGTCTTTCGGGTCTCCCTACAGCTCTAGAGATGAGCATCCCGCCGCTCAGGGCCTTGCTGCGTCCCAGAGTACTGACATTAGGCCCCCAATCAACTCAGTAAAAATATCCGGGTTTATCAGTGACAAGTGAACACTCCGAGTCCCAGATGAAGCTGGATCGTAAGTCACTGTGTCCCAGAGCTTTGCCTTTTATGGGAAATGATACAGTAATGCTAATTTTTGCTTTTGCCAAATAAGGGCATTAACAAAAATTTATTATCATGTCTCTTGTCATACGAAAAGAAAAAAAGCCTGTAATTGCTATGTAAAGAGATGTTATTAAATTGAACAGATTTAGCCTTGTGATTGTTATTTTTCTCAGTTTACTGAGGCTGGGTGAAGACGTGGACAGAAATTGGCTCTGGTCACTGGTCCTGGGTTTGGGAATCACTGTTGTATGAAACTTGTGATTTAATTTAGGTGTCCTTGTGGGTCCTCTTTCAAGTAGTTTAATTTGAGAGAACTGACGAAGGTCACAGCTGTGATGCCAACTCCCCTTCTTCTTCTTTTTGATGCATTTGAACAATTACTCATTGTGTTGTATTGTCCTCTAATGGTTTCAGATGTGGCTGTCTTGTCTCTTCCAACCAGATTGAAATGCTAGGTAAATATATATTATAGAAGGTACTGAATAACTAATGATTTGAATTTGTTTCTATAACAAACACTGGTATGCTGTTTAGTGCACTGCAGGCTGTTCACGCACACACGTGTGTGTGTATTTTGGAAGTTTGTTGGACTCATCAATTTACATAGGTGTGTAAATGAAAGGTGCACACTTTTGAAGAAGTAGACAAGTTTTGCAGAGTAAGAAAACAAGCCTTTGGGGTCAAGTTTCCACCTGCATCTCCATTTCCTAATAAGGCTGAAAGATTAAAATACCAAGTGAGTAGATGTGGCCCTGCATTGGCAGCATCTTTAAAGTCTCTCATCATTCTTGATGATTTAGTAATAATGCAGGTGTAGCAAAGTAGTTGAGGTGCTCCCACAAAATATCAGAATTGTTTTTCATTTTCATATACTTTTTTTACTTAAAAAATCATAAAACATTCCTCAGAGTGACAGTTGAGCTTCAATATTTATGACTTTCTGATTGCTCTAGCAGTTGAGGAAAAAAAATAAATAAAAATGAGCCCTCAAGTAAAATCTGAGTGGAAAAGATTAAAATTCAGAATTATGGAGTTTTCTCATTTCAATGAATGCTCACTTTTTCCTGGAAGTTTTACGTGCCAGACCTAGTTTCGCTATATTTGACAGTTCTTGAAAAAGTACGTACTTTCTTTCTTGAAAATACATGAACAATTTTATTTTTTGAAAACAAACACTTTTAGATCATCACAACTTTTCCCACCAACTTTTACACTTTCCTCTGACTACAGACCAAGCACACGCACGTCTTGCAGGTCAAGGGTTCATTTCAGGGCACAAACGGGGAAGCGTGTAAGTGAGTGAAAGTGGAGAAATGACAGAGCATCGTTATCTTTAGGGTATTTTTAAACGGCTAAACTGCTATGATATATGGTATCTACCTGGCTGATTTGTGATATGTGTCAAAATTGTTCAATCATTTACCTTCCTGTGAATTCTTGTTCTTTTCTGATTCATTTGTATTAAGTCTTACGACTATCTCCTTACCCAAGATGCAGCTCTTTAATTTACGATTGGTTTCTTTCCTTCAAATAGTGTATTTCTACAGCTATTTAGAGGAGTACATTATTAATGCTTAATTAATTTTGTGGGGAGGGAGAAATAATATGACTACAGGTTGAGCATCTTTAATCTGAAAATCCAAAATCTGAAATGCTCCAAAAGCCAAAACTTTTTGAGCACTCGACAGGATGCCACAAGTGGAAAATTCCACATGTAAGTACTGAAGACAAACTTTGTTTCATGCACAGAATTATTAAAAATGAATTAAAAATTACATTCAGGATATATATATATAAAGTGTATATGATGTTTAGACTTGGGTCCCATCCCCAAGATATTTCATTATATGTATACATAGATTCCGAAATCTGAAATCTGAAACACTTCTGGTCCCAAGCATTTCGGATAAGGGATATTCAGCCTGTATTTCCCTTCAAGATGTTTGTAACATAACAACATTATTGTAAACTCTAACTGCGGTTTGAGATTATGAAGGTGACTTGAGAAAAATGGGCACTGTTGACAACTAATCTCAGAAAGGGCATAAGGAAGAATGAGCTCTCCCAAAGAAGATTCAGTATTAATGAAAATTTTACTAATATGTCATTAAAGTGTTCATGTTTTAGTAACAACTTAAACTCATAGTACTTTCTGTTCTTACTTTTCCTGATTAATTAATATTTCAACAAATATCTGAGTTCCACCGAGCCCTGTTTTAGGTGCTGGGAGGATAGCAGCAAATCACGCAGACAGAGAGCTGTGCCCTTGCGTTACTGATACTCTGCCGGATCCTGATGAATTAGTTTATTCATTGTTTGACAAAAGCTCGTTATGTGAGCTTATTGAGCTTTATATGAAAGACTCAAATAGTCATATATTGCAGCCCTCCTAGTAGAAGGACCGCAGTGAAGAGTTCAGGATTAGATTCCCAGGAGAGCACTGTGCAGAGAGATGTGGTAAAAATACCCTTATTCTAGATCTGGCATCTGAGCTGCAGCAGGTGCATATGTGGTGAAGGAAACTGACCCGGCCATGAAGCCAGTAACAGAACATGGAAAACAGAGAGGTCGTCAGGACTGCTTGGGGAAGCTATTGTGACTATGTCCTCCTGGACATGTATGACAACATTCTAAAAGGCAGAAGAGAAAAGCATCCTTGCACTTGGTCTATGAGAAAAGGTTTTATTCAAAAGAATATGGGGAAAAAATATTAGACTTGGCCAATTTTAGAATTTTGAGGATGAGTAAAATTTTAGGCAGAGCTGGCCCTGGTTATAAATGAGCAGAGTTTGGGCACCCATCTCCTCCCATCCCCTCCTCACCCCTTTCTGCAGCTGACTTATCACATATCCTGTTGCATTCCATGTGGAAAGAAAAGAACTGGTCCCCTCTTTTGTAGACTTTCTCTGCTATTTATCATTCCCGTGATGTAACAAGTTACCTCGCTAAACCTCCATTTTCTCATTTATGAAATAAAGGGTACCAACCTCAGAAGGTAATTAACGGTGAAGATTAAATATAAGCATGTGAAAACGCTTTGAAACAATTCATAACCAGAATTGCCATAATAGTATTAACTATTATTATTAACTTCCTTAAGCAATGGAAACCAAACTCTGAGACATACATTAAAGAGTATCTGTGAGACTGTGCCTTAGATCACACTGTGTGTGAGGCTGACTATTCTGCTTGCACAAAGCCACACCAAGCCCATTCTGGTCTGATCCCGAGTTACTCACTCTTGCCAGGCTGGTCCCGGATGGAACTTTGTACGGGACGTACTTTCTGTAGATATGACCAACTCTGGAACATGGAACGTCAAACATTTCTCCTCCACACATCCAAACCTAAAGGGGGAAAGTATAACAAAAGAGAACAGTGAATTTCACACAAAAAAGGAAGTATAGCCACTCAAAAGGCAGGAGGATTGCTTGAGCCCAGGAGTTTGAGTCCAGCCTGGGCCAACATGGTGAGACCTTGTCTCTAAAAAAATAAAAATAAATTAAAAAAGAGGAATTATTAGCAGTATTTATAAAACATTTCAAAATCTCTTAAAGTCTCTAAATCAATAATTTCTGTCTATTATAAATGGTTAACCAAGAAAGAAAACCACAATTTTTAAAACCTAGATTCATAAATGTATAGAATCAAAATACCAGTTCATTAAAATCTTATTTTCATAGACAATATGTTGGCTTTTAAAAAATTCTAGTAGAATTTTATTACAAATATTCTATTGAGCGTCAACTGCCGGCCGTATGTATGGAGACCCCTCTACACGATTCCGGCCCCTAGCTGTTGAGTCATGTCAGCTGACTCCATATATCACGGAGCAGGAACAAGCTACCCTCTTTTGCCTTTTTAAAATTTGGGGCCCGCAGAATCCAAAAGCTTAATAAAACAGCTGCTTATGGTGGTATGATTTGTTATGCAGCAGTAGTAACTGAAACTACATATTCGCAAATCCACGATAAAGGTGAATTGCTAACACAGATAACCAAAACCTGTGACTCACCCACAGATTTCACCTTATCCTGTTGTGGGAAAGACAGTGCTGGGACTCACCAATTTCTATGCTCACGGCTTCCTGGGCACACTGCCAAGCTGTAATTCCCAGCTTCTTTGTATTTAGATGGGCCATGGGATCATTTCTTGCCAATTGAACGTAATAGAAGTGATGTGCACCATTTCTGGGCCAAAGAAAGTATAAATGGACTTCCTTCGCTATCTTCTTCACAATTTCCTTTTTCTCTCCGTTCCTGACCAATGGTAGAAGACCCAGAGGAGGATTCTGAGACCCTAGTAGTGGTGGATCATTAAATGGATGGGGCCTGTGTCCCTGAAAAACTGTGTAGAGCAGAGCACACACCTCCTCCTCCACAACAGGACCAAATTGTGAGAAGAGCAATAGAAAAATCTTACTAATGTTAAGTCACCAAGATTTTGGGTTTGTTACAGCAGTTAGTCCACCCTAACTAATAACCTTTTTTTCCCAGTCTGACATTTTTAATCAAATGCAGTGACTGTAATTATTTGAGAGATTACTTCATGTCATATTCCTACATTTTAAAGAGGTAGAATTTAAAAGCAATTAGACAACAGATGATGGGGGTGGGGGGGTAGAGGGTGAGCAGAGAATGTTAGATAGCCCCGTATATAATAAAATGTCAGCTCTTATCGGCCATAAGATAAGCAAATGTCAAGGCAAAGATGTCTTTTTATCATCTGTGCCTAGGAGATCATAATTTGTTGGTACAGCCTTTTATTTTTCCTAAAAAAAAAAAGGTGCCATATTGCTCCCATTAGTTTGCGGAGGTGGCCAGTCTCTCCTGCAGGATCGGGGAGGTGACAAGTGGGGGCAAGATGTGGGGCCAAGGCCTGCGGCAATGCCTTACGTTTTCTGGCTTTAATCTGTTCTTTGGTTCACGTGGTCCTGTCGAATAGAGTGTGGGCAGAAGTGGACTAAATGCTACTTACAAGAGAGTTTACCAGAGTGAGAACAGCCACGGCAGAAAGTTAAATGAGTCATCACTGCCTGCTGTTATGGACTGAGTGTGTGTCTCCCTCTACCCTCTTCCACATGTATATGTTGAAATCCCAACTCCCAAAGTGAAGGTGTCAGGAGGTAGGGACCTTTGGGAAGTGATTAAGTCATGAGGGTGGAGCTCTCGGGAATGGAATTAGTGCCTTTGTGAAAGAGACCCCAGAGATCTCTCTCATTCTCTTTCCACCCTGTGAGGGTACAATGAGCAGTCTGCAGTCTGAAACCTGGTCAGAGCCTCACCAGAACCCAATCATGCTGCACCCCGATATCAGACTTCCAGCCTCCAGAACTGCAAGAAATAAATTTCTCGATTATAAGCCACTCAGTCTATGATACTTTGTTACAGCAGCCCAAGTGGACCAAAACGCCTACTTTTTAAGAGACGGCAAAACAACCTAATGGACATGCAGAGATGAAATTCCAACTAATCGTTTTCAAAGGGTCACTCTAACATAGTTTTTAAAAGATCCACATATCAGTTTTATATTTGTGTAACAGATTACTACAAATTTAATGGCTTAAGACAACGTGTGTTTATTATGTCACAGTTCTGTGGGTCATAAGTCCATGTGGGCTCAGCTGGGTTCCTCGCCTGGGGCCCCACAAGGCTGAAGTCTCGATGTCTGCTGGTGTCCCTCCTCTGGAGTCTCAGGAGGGATCTGCTTCCAAGCTCACATAGATTCCGTTGCTTGCAGCTGTAGGACTGACACCCCCAATTTCTTGCTGGCAGCTGACCGGGCTCAGCTCCTCGAGGCCATTTTCAGTTCCTTGTCCCGTGGATCCTGTGTCTCAGCCATGGTTAACCTCGTGTGATTAGGTTAGGCTTACAAGATCATCTTCCTTTCTTAAAGTGAACTGATCAATAACCTTAACTACGTTTGCCAAAGCTCTTTTGCCAGGTGACATAATCATGCGAGTAAAACAAGGAGGAGGGTCATTTTAGAATTCTCCTACTGAAGGACAAAAAGGACAACCGCCATTTTGCTTCTTCCCTGGATGCAAAAAGCCCGCTCGGAAAGCCCGCCAAAGAAATCTCCACCCCCTACCTCGAAAACGATCCTCGGGAAGCCCTGGTTGGTTAAATCTGAATCCCTCATTTACATAAAGGGGCCCAGGCTCTGACTGGCAGATTCTGAATCTCTAATGGGCATGACGAGCCTGGGCCTTGATTGGTCCCTTTTTGACACCTCGCTTTGCATAAGCAGGACCACCCTTTTCCACCGCCACCCCTTAAAAGCTCCGCCAAGCACTCAGGCGAGGCTCCTCTCTTGTCGCTCGCAGCAGAGCTCCTTCCCGGACTTCTTCAGCCTTCCCGGACTTCTTCAGTAAAATTTGTCCTTGTTCGGGCCATTTCTCGCTCTCCTTTTTCTCTTTCGTTCTCTCTAAACCCTTTTTCTGACACCCGCCGCTGTTTCCAATGAATCAAAATTCATGTCTTCTATCAATAACATCCTCCTAGTTCTTAAAATTATTCCCACCACAAATTTTTCTTTGTAGCTAAGTCAAATTCAGGAAAATTCTGCCTAGATTTCTTTGTGCTAAATTCAGTGTTGAGAAAACGATAGTATCTTAGGATTTATCTTGCCACCAGGATCATTTAAAAACAGAAACCTGAGCACATCCATTAAAATTCTTGAGTGGTTTCCTATTGCTCTTAGGGTGCAGTCACAACTCTTCCTTAAACGGTCCAAGGCCTTGTGTTACCTGGCCTTCACTTGCTCACCTGTCCCTCAACCACCACCTTCCCACTCCCTGCGCTGGGCTGTTGTGAATTCCTTGGAGAGGACCAAGAGTCCCTCCTCCGGGCTTCCTGCCGTAAAGTTGTTCTCTCTTAAAGAAATTCTCCCAGGCTATCCTTTCCCCTTTTCCTATTCTTTGCGTATATCCTATTTATTGTCCACATTTCAGCTTAACCGTCAGAACTGAGCCTCTAGATTTGGTTAGAACTCCCTATTCTATGCTCTCATTCCATTCTGTGTTTCTCTTTCACATAATTGATTAACTGAGCCAACAACTGTGTTGTGAGCACTTACTATATACGCCAAGCATCATTCACCAGGCTGGAGCTGTAATATGTGACCAATTCAAAGTTTTGAGCACATGGATCTTTCTTTCAAGTGGAGCCAGTACTTAGGACAACTGTAATTAAGTGTTTTATTTGTGTGCTCCTGTGATTTGCATAGGGTTGGCCTCTCCTCACTGGACTAAGTTCCATGATTGTTTTGTTCACTATTATCTCTTCAGCTACTAGTGAAGGATTTAGCACATAGCAGATACTCAGTAAACATTTGTGGAGGCGTTGAGTGTGATCACTTCTTCTTTCAATTATACTTATGCTCTTAGGTTCCCAAGGCCTTCCTGATTTAGTGTTGCTTTGTACAACCTCAGGGCCACCTTGCTTTTTACCATAAGCACACCATAGTTGTCCTTAATCTTTGAGTTGTTTTAGTTTCTATCTCATGAATATCACCATGCACTTCTTTGTTTTTTTCAGTCTTCCAGTAACTGTTTCTAGTTCAGTAGAAGCATCCACATCCTGACACAGTAGAGAGATATGTTTAGGAAACAACGTAGAAACATGGTTCATTAGGAAAGCATATTGTTGTGGCGTTTATCAAATGCTATATTTGTTGTGAAAGATATGGTCTATGTTTTTAAAAGACATTTTCTGGTAGTACGAAGTGATGATTGTCTAAAAAAAAAAATCTATGGCAAGGTATCTAATCCTTGGAGAAATGTTTTACATTTACAAATAATGTGCCTCCTTTCGACAACATGGATATTTTAAAGAAATGTTATTTTACTCATGAATGAACAGAAGGCATTTTCTTTATCATAATATAGTTCAAATTGACTGAATAATTAAACGTTTGTCTTATTTTTTAAATCACCTTCCCATAGCAGCCACAAACTGGAATTTAGACATAGAGAATGTTACATTGAATGGAATCATACAATTGTAACTGGTCACATAAAATATGAAATTAGTTTCAGTAAGAAATTGTCAGGAGGACATTAAGATAACACTATTATCAGGCTTAAAATGATGCATGATATGCTGTATGGAAATGGTGATCTAAATTCTCAAAAATAGTCTTTATCAAAGCATTCGGTTCCCACACTGGCCACCTCTCTAACATTACCTCCTGCTCTTCTCTCCCCGCCTCCTGTGCAAGCTCTCCTGGCTGCTTTTCTGTTCCTCCCACAAGCCAGATATCCTCCTGCTTGCGGAATTTGTATTGGCCGTTCCCTCTGCCTGGAATTCTCTTCTTCCAGAACTACACATGGCTAATTCCTTCATCT